TTTAATTTATTACTTAACTGATTGAAGCCCAAAAATGGAATAAAATTCGATAAGAGCCCTTTCTCTTATATTTTCTACAAGGAGATTTTTATTAAAGCCCAATTTAACACATGCCTGTTCAAGTCGAGCAAAGGACGATCTCGGCCAAGGTTTTCTTCTTCGGTAATACTATCAAAATTGGGAACAATTTGTGAAGGAAAGGCTGAAAGGGAGACATGTGTTACAGTGATATCTACTCAACATCTTCATCACCAAACTTTGTAGGTAGTATCGGATTTTATTAGTTTAAAAATGAGCTTTATATGTTGAAATCGCACTCGTTCTGACTGTTGTGAATGATTTGATTTCAACTCAACTCCTTGTAATTTATTTATGCTTCCAAAATTGTTGTTTCTTGATGGTAATCTTTCTCTAGCAACAATGATTTCTTCGACATTTTGATGCGGTTGTTTATGGTTTTCTCCTTGCTACAATGCTTATTTCTAGTGGGGGCATTTCCCCCCACTAGACCCAAGGTGGCTCCGCCTGTCTTTGTTATTGATCTTTTAGTTTTTAGTTGGTAAATTGACTTTGTCTGAGAGTTTTAAGCTAAAGAACTTGATGTAGCATTGCAGCTTTAAAAGATGGTGAGTGATGGACGGTTTCTACAGAGAAATAAGGGAGAGACTGGTAATAGTTCGATCCAAAAACTGATTAATGGTAAAGGGTTGTCAAATTTGAGTATGGAGAGAGCTGGTGTCTTGGTTTTAAGAAGGTCCCAAAGTAAAGTAGTGTTACCAAGAGATATGACCATAAGCCCCCAAAGTATGCAGAAATCCGAGAGTCGTGAGAAGCAAATGCCACCTTCTACTCCAGTGGAGAGGAAAGTTGAGAGAATCGAGAAACAGAATGCACATAGTTCTCCAGGGAGGTTGGACGTGGTTAAGAGGAGTAATTTGTCACGTTCTCTGGGTTCCAAGCAATCTGGAGAAGGCCTTCGTCTGTCAAATATGAAGTGGAAGAAGAAGAAACAGAAACAGAAAAGTTTGATACAGGTGACCATGGAATCGGGGGAAGCTGAACCTTACCCGGACTCTGTTGGTCTGAAGAGGATGCAAATGAATGCTCACAGATACAGGGATATATATAAGAAAAAACGGATGGATGTGTTATCAGGTAAATTGAATCTCCATTCACAGCTTGCTTCCTCTGCAAAGCAGGAAGTGCAATCTGGAAAAGCTGAATCTGGCCTGCGATCTATTGGTGTGAAGAGGAAGGAAACGGATGCTCGAAGTTACAAGGCTAAATTGAATAAAAAACGGATGGTGGACACTTTACCAGGTAAACTGAATCTCCATTTGCAGCTCGTTTCCTTAGCACACCAGGAAGTGCTGCAAGGTGATGTTTATTTAAAGCATGTTTGATTCCTCATTAATTGGGAAAAAATGAGTTTTGAATAGTATTTTTAGGAGATGGTGTGGTTAAAAAGTAGGGAAAGTTTTTTGGTATACGTGTAGAATATTTTTTTGTGTAAATGTATGGTTGAAAATGATCTTATAACAAACCATAAAATAAATTAATGGGTGTCAAACAGGCACTTAGTTTTTTCACTTTAAGTTGTATTCCATTATTTCTGTATAATAGAAAGGATCTCCAACATTGCATGGTACGGCACTTGTGTCCTCATTCAGTTTCTTTCAATTTTGGGGCACCTGAGTGGTTGGATTGAAACCATATAATTACCGTGAAGTGGCACAGACCTTGCACAAGGCGTCTTGTTTTACAGCTATTTTGGTCAATCCATCAATACATCTCTCCAGAAAAAAAATTAATAAAAAGGAAAAAAAATCACTTCTTCCCTAACCCCTGCCATCACCCTGCCTATACCCCACCAACTCGTCCCCAATGTCCCACTGCCACTGCCTAGGGTTTTCTCCACCCCTTCATTTGCTAGTTTTATATGTACATAGCAGACAGTTCCATTAAGGTAAGATTAAAAAGATAGTATGTTGTCCAGTTACAGGCAAATGGAAGAATATTAATAAAAGGCTTACTTTGAATCTTATGTATGGTCAAGTTAAGAGAGACTGTCGATAGGATTCTTCAGTACCCTAACACAAATATTGGTGGCAATACATTTTGCAATTTCCTGTGAGACTGGTGAGTGAGTGGAAGGGAATGTGGTCAAATGGCTCACAATTTCTAAATATAACCTAGAATTATGATTTGCATGCCAATGACAGATTTCCATGCATACTGTTCTTTGGCGGATTAATTTTTTGATCCCTCCCAAAAACATTTTTTTCTGCATAGATGTTGATGAGGAATTGGAAGGATCAAATATACTTTCTCAGGTTGGCGGTGGCGATGTCAGGGAAATTGATTCTGAACAGAGAGGAAAAAAAGAAGACTTGAGATATGAGTGCAGTGGAAGAATGGTAGAGAAAATAAGAGTCGAACATGTCAATAAGGCTAATGGAGCGCCTGAGAGGTGCATTTCTAGTCTGAGGGGTTCTGATGTGGACGCACTTGAAAATGATATCAGTGCAGAATCTATTCCTGGGCATAGTGTTATGGACAAGCCTCTTGAACCTCCAGATGGCAATGTTTTCGAAAAATCTGGAATTGCTTATGCAGTCAGAGAATCTGTCAATGATACTGGAACAGTTTTGACAAATATTTCTTCTACTGACAATATGGAGGTTCCAGAGTCAGCAAGTTTGACTCAATTGGGAAGATCACTAGGTGGTTTTATGGATGCAGTAAATTGCGAGAAACATATTTATCCGAATGGCATGAGATCTACAATGGACTCAGAGTTAGACCATACCTCAATGGATGCTGGTAAAAATGTTTGCTCGGCAGTTGTGGACAATGCTCCTTCATCATTACACGAGCGTGAAAATGACAATCTTTTGGGGCTTCGTGTTGAATGTGCTGAAAAGAGAAGGTATGATGTCCACATACTAGCTCTAATAAATTTCAAATTACTCATTGTGGGGTGTTTAACATTTTTTCAGATTTATTTATTTTTGAACATTCTATTGCTATTAATATGTGTGCCATAAACTTGCTTTTTGTTATGGGTTATGTTCCTGATCGAATATGAGAGGGCTAAAGTGGCTTTGCATGCTATAAACTTTGTTATATTTTTCACCAAAATGATGCTTCAAAGGTTATGTTTTATTACCCTGTATTTAACCTTTTTCTAGGAAATACGTGTAACCATGTTTACTTCTTTAGTAACCATGTTTACTTCTTTAGATAACTATGCAATTATGCCTAGGCTTTAAAAAAAATTGTTTTTTTATGATTGAGTTCATTTATCTTGACAGGTTGAGTATTTTGTATTTCTGTTTTGAAGCATATGCAAATGAAATCCAACTCATTAAGTCAACATATCTGCATTCATGCCTGCAGTTTTGGTAGCATGAGTTTACTGTTTTTTGCCCTTTTTCTGAGCTGTCTCAAAATTTTGCTCTAATTAGTTTCTAACCTTTATTCAACATTTCTGAACAAGCACATGCTCTTTCCTATATATACTCGTTAAATAGAAATCATCTGACTTTTATACTTCAGCATTTGTTTTATATTGAACTTTTGGGCAATTTTTTACCATAAAGTAAACCTTCATGGAGTACTTTCGCACATGACCAATATGCCGTGAGGATGAAGAGTAAATTTTACATTCACAACTCAACTTTTTCAACCAATACATTTGTTAATCAGACATGCTTGAGAATAGAGAATAGGAAGCAGCGGTCTTGAGGAGAGGTGTAGCTGATGAGCAACATGATGAGTAAGCTGCTATGCTAAGCATTAGGAATGATATGTCTATTTATGTGCGGGTTGGGGTAGGCCGAGAAAGTCTCGGTTCAATTTGACGAGACTCGAGGCCAGCATGAACTGATGAACATTAATGCATTTTGTTTGCTAAGCAGATGTAACAACATATTACAGACTATCTATAAATCAATTATGATAGTTATGGAGTGTACCGGTCATAGTCGTAAAGAACTCGAATACAGTTAGCTCCACCCTTATATGACATGAATCTTTAGTTACCCTTTTGTTGGCTACTTCACTGAATTTGAGGTAAAATATAATAACCAGAATTGTTAAACTTTGCAGCAAAACATTCCCTTCTTTTCCCCCTCCAACCTCTCCAACAACACACCAAAAAATGTAAAATAAAAGTAATAATAACAGTATTAAGAAATTATGCTATCTGGTTGCATAGTCTGGACAGTAGGATTTATTTCTATTGGTTGCCCACATATTGATATGTGAAATTTCTCCAAGCATAGCCCTTAACGAGTCATCGTTAAAAAAGATTAACTGGAACTGCTTCTTCTAATTTCTACACAATCTAATTTCATGTCTTGGTCAGAACTATCTCCATCGATGTTGACATGGATGAGCCAGAGGAAATAATTGCATCTTCCGATGAGCAAAGGAGCCTTCAGCAGAAACAGGCACCAAAAGATAAAGTTTCTGGTAGTGAAATAAAAGATAATAAAAAGCGAATCAAGGAAAAATGTGATAAAGGGATTAAAAAACTTGTTCAACAACAATGGGAGGAAATTCAAGAGTTCCATAGAATTTGGGAGGAGAAAAGGGTACAACTGGAGAATGGTTATAAGTTGGATTCAGCTTTCATTCGATGTATATATGGTCAAGGTTCCATGAGAATCAACAAACTCAAGCTTTTGGACGAAGACATTGCAAAGAAAATTGAAGAACACAAGATCCTGAAAGACATGAACCTTAAAGTTCTGGAGGCAAAACAGTTAGCTGCTCTGAAGGATGAGAGAGAAAAGGTGGCTTATTTTTTGGCCAAAGCTAAGGCCTGTTGTAGTGAAATTCAGTCAGTTGATGACCCACATTTGCTTGAATCTCAATCTGAGGACCCTGGACGCTCTCAGGCTATTGCGAAAATTACTGTTACTGGCCCTGAAAATGTTCTCAGGTCTGAACAACATATAGAGGAGCAAAGTCATAACAAAATTGTTTGTGACCTGCATGGGGATGATGTCATGCCCTCTAATACATCTGTTACTGTATCAGCTGAGGCAGTGGGATGTACTGTTCCTACTGAAACTGTTAATAATTTGATAAATATTATACCTGAAAGAAGAATGGGGATAGTTCATTGTGAGAGAACATCTGTTGTTACAGCTGAGCCACCCAAGGAATTGAATCCTCATGGAGAAAGAGTTTCTGATATAATTCCATTGAGTGAGCAGAGCAAAGAGGTCTTTACAGTGGTTCCTGAAGCCGTATGTACTGATATTGTAGGGCATGGTTGCTCAGTAGAATCCCACAATGCACATCTTAGGGTGTATGATAAAGTATATAAAGTTGATTTGCCTGAAAATGTGATGAACCAAAGCAAAGAAGCTGATAAGCTGATCAATGGAGTCCGATCATTGTTACCTTTGGAGCAAGCTATAGCTTCTACAGATCACTGTGGTTTAATAACCCAGAGTCAAGTATGCACTTTTTTCTTCTAAATGGTCTAGTTTTATGCTTATCCTAAATGTCCTGCACTGCACTTTAGAGTAAAAACTTAAGAGGGTGATCTCAACTCTGAGTTTAATGGGCTTTTTAAGATTTATGGATTATCATTGATTTCATGAATTTGAATAGAATTCCACCCAATTCATAAGATTTTGACACGTTCTATTTTATAGATTTTAATGGATTCCTTGGATATTTATGGATTTCTTACAATTATGATAAAATAATATAACTTAACCGATCACCCCAAAAAAAAGACATTTTAACTTTGTCATTGGAAAATAAAATTAATAATGTTAGTTTATTATAGAAAATTCATAACTTTGTCATATAAAAAGAACACATTTAATCAATGTACGAAACCCAGAAAATAAATATGAACAAATTAGAAATGAGTTCAATCTGAAAATAAAATCATTTTTGTTATAGTGTTGAAAATTACGTACGAAATATGCACTTAATATTTTATGATTAAAGACGTGTTTAGTTTGTGGATAGAGTTAACAAAGTAGAATGGACTAATTTATTTTTAGTTCTTAGTTGTCCAAAATAAAAATTCAAGTCCAAATTTCAATAGGAACAATAAGTCAATTCGTCGTTTCTTCTCTCCCACTTTGAGTTTCAGATTGAGAATTGTAAATGAGATATTTTATTTTATATTTTTCTATTTTTTCTTTAGCTTGATTTCTTTTATTTTTGTCAAAGGTATTAATCATTTGACTATATTTGTAGGCTCAAAATCCATTGAAATCTGAGGGATCAGAATAGAATTCCTAAAGAGCTGGGCATTTATATTTATAGGCTTGAAATCTACTGTTATCTATTAAAATCCTTTCAATATGAAATCCTTAGAAATTCACTAGTTATCGGGTTAAAATCTGAGTTGATGACACTCCTAAACTTGTACAGACTTTTAAATCTAAGTTGAGGGACACACCCTGTTTTTCTCCAGTAAGTTAATATGTCCTTAAAAATTATGCTCTCTCCAATAGTTTTGCAGACATATTATCCTCTAAACTTTGGCACATTATTTAGAGCTGATGAAGCGCACTCCATGGATTATCTTTCTTGTACTTGTGTCTCTTGATTTTTTGACGATGTTTGTCAGGACGTGCAAATTTACTCCAGGATTGTATAATGGAACTAGGTAATTAACAACTAGAATATGTGATATGACCAGGTAGCACAAGATGAATATAACCAATGCTCAGTGTCTGCCGAATTGCAAGACCAAGATGCACCAGTCACAAAAAATCAAAGTACTACAGCAGTTGAAGAAACCATTTTGGAAGCTGTTGAGGCGGCAACCTCTGTGCAGTCTAATCTTGAGGTAATTGAGAATTGTGAGCGGCTACTGCCAGTTCCCGCTTATATTTCTCCTGGCTGCAATCATGTTCCAGCTAGTGAAGTTGAACATCAACCCCAAGATGAAGCAAGAAGCTCTTCCCAAATTGCTGAGGCTTCTCTCCATTTAACCAAGGAGCTAGAAGCACTTTCATATCAAGCTCCTTCTCAAAGTGGGGGAAGTTTGGAACTGCATCCTCCAGTTTCTCATGTCAATTCAACTCTTGACGGGGAAATTTTGGAACCTGCTGAGGCTGTAACCTCTGTACAGTCTAACCATGAAGTAATTGAGAATTGTGAGCAGCTGCATCAAGTTTCTGCTTACGTATCTCCTGGCTGTGATCAATTTTCAGCTAGTGAAGTTGAACATCAAACTCAGGATGAAGCAAGAAGGTCTTCCCAAGTTGCTGAGTCTTCTTCTATCCATTTAATTGGGATAGAACAACTTACAAATCAAGCTACTACTCAAAGTGGAGGAAATTTGGAACTGCATCCTCCAGTTGCTCCTGTCGATTCAACACTTGACGTTGCAATTTTGGAATCTGTTGATGCTGTAACCTCTATACAGCCTAATCATGAAGTAATTGGGAACCGTGAGCAGCTGCAGCAAGTTTCCTTTTATGTATCCCCTGGATGTGATCAAGTTTCAGCTAGTGAAGTTGAACATCAAGGCCAGGATGAAGAAAGAAGTTATTCCCAAACTGCTGAGGCTTCTCCCCATTTAGCTGAGGAACTAGAAGCACTTGCATATCAAGCTAATTCTCAATGTGGGGGAAATTCAGAACTACATCCTCCTGTTGCTAATGTCGTTTCAACTCTTGACGGCAATCACCTTGATTTAGGATCACCAAACAGAGTTGAAAATGAACCAAGTTGTGAATTGAACAACTCTGCTGTGATTAATGTGACTATGTCTGAAGCAGTTACAAGTACACTTGGACTTCCAAATCAAGCTGCTCTGCAACTGGGGGAACATGTCACTCATCTTCATGGACCTAGCAACCTTCTAGTTTATCCTTTTCATCATGTGGGCTCTTGGAATCCTACTTCATCTTTTCATGCTAAACCACTTGAAGATGAACTGCATAGGTTACAGAAAGAGTGCGAACAAGTGATAAAAGTCCATGAAGATAATGTGTGTCAGAATTTCTTCCTGGTCGTATTATGTATCCGTATTTTTTATTGTAAATAACTCTATCTATCTCTCTCTCTCTTAACAGAAATCACAACTGAAATCTGATTGTAAGAAGGAGATCCAGGAAATTATCACTCAAATATGTGATAAGTATGCCAGAAAACTTCAGGATGCTGAAGCCACGTATTGTCTGAGGAAGAACGAACTTGATAGCAATTATAACAAGGTTTTCATGCATAAAATTCTGGCTGAGGCTTTCAAATCTGAATGCTTCAATCTCAGGCCTTCTCAGCATCCAGGAACGCAGGAAGGTACATAATCAGTTGGTCATACCTCTTCCAAAGTATAAGCAATAGTTCATTTTGAAGATGTGTTCCTGTATTGTTCATATAATATGATTGTGGGGACTTGAACTCTCAGGACAAAACATATTTTTTTTGTGCATACTACCAACTGACTATAAATGGTAGATGAGTAATCAAAAATCAGAAATTCAATTCCCTTTTGATTCTATGGATTCATATCTTCCATTTAGTAGGTTCACTAACATTGGAAATTAATTTTTACCAATAAAATCCTTATTTAATTATAATTGTTTGTTCAGTTAAACTCCGGAAATAGTTTTCAAACATAATGATAAGTACTGATTACATTTTTTTTAAGCTGTGGTATTTTTATTAGGGATCTTTCCATGGTGATTACATTGTCTGAATCATCCGAATATGCTTTTTTGAACCTCTTCATTCTCTATTTTATATCTTTCATATTTTTGGTTCTATAACGGTATTGTTTTGGAAGAACAATCAGTATCTCACTGTGTCATCTATGGTTTTGTTGCCTTGGTGATCTTAAATGGACTAGATGCAACATTCTTCCTAAGACTCTCATTAAAAGAGTGCAACTTGTTATTGTGATTTAACATGATGAATCTTCCGTGTATGACCATGTTTTCCAGGAACCTAAAATGCAGGGTTTGAACTTTTTAGTTCTCTCTTTTATACTTTTTGGTTCTATAATAGCATGGTTTTCCAAAGACCTTTAGTCCCACAGAATTGTTGCAAACCACTCACATTATCTTCTCCCCTTCTCTGTGATTTCATTTCGCTGGTGGGCCTGAGCTTGTCTCTTCTAAAGTGTAATTCAAATAACGTGTGTCACAATTTAAGCGTGGAAGTGTCAGTTCAAGGAACTTGCAAAATTACCGAATAAGGTTGAACTTTTTTGGCTAACTTGTTTACTTCTGTTTTGATGTCAGCTAAATAAACTTATTGACATATATTTGAGTATGGTGCCTGTATTTTTAGTATATTTATATTTGTTAATCTCTTGGTAGCTTTCTCTCAGTTTTGTCCATTTGTTATCATTGTTCTATATATTTTGATTTATGCTTCTTGTTGGTCAATTGAAAGAGATTTTGACCCCATTGTGCAAATTCTGGTATGAAATTGGACCTACAGTCCTACTAGGGTGACGTTCAACATTTCAGTAAATCCCAGGACGTGTCCGACAAGCGAGGTGCTATGTCCTATTTTTTTTATATATATTTTTTAAATTTTTGGTGCTAGAGGGATATACTTAGGGGACACTCAGGCAAGTGTTAGATGTTCAATGTGTCATGTTTTATATTAAAAAGTATAAAAATAAAGATATAGAGCTTGTTGGCCTTTCATTAAAATCTCCTTATAAGTTAAAGGTCAAAGTCAAACTTTAATTTTAACTATACATTTTGTAGGATCCATAATTACTACCCAAGTATCCGTCACTCATTTCCATCACATTATAATTTCAGGAACTTATAATGAAACCAAAAAAGCACATAATATGTAATGGGAAAATTGCAGCCACAGTACCAAACCTTTAAAAAACTCGCACCCAGAGTCCAAATGGATGGAAACTGTTAGTTTGACTGTTAGTTGATCAGAGAATTGACATTGACCATAATTTTGACTAATTTTAAAAAGGATAAAATGGTAACTTTACATTTTCTATAATAAAATAATTAAAATAAAAAAAAACCCAAACCACACATAACTACCCCACCCAAACCTAAAACTCTGTAGTTGTACTGGGAAAGGGAAGCTTGGGGGAAATAAGAAGACGGGATTGTTTGTTTTTCCTGGCATTAGTGGTTTCCCGAGCAATGACTCGGAGGTGGAGTTGGAAAAGGGTGGCGGTGGAGCTAGTGGAGGGATGAGTGGTGGGAAGGGAGATCTCATGACTATCGATAAGGGGTTCAATTTTGAGTTAGACGAGTTGTTGAGGGCATCGGCTTATGTGTTAGGGAAGAGTGGGTTGGGGATTGTTTATAAAGTTGTGCTTGGAAATGGGGTGTCGTGGCTGTGAGGAGGTTGGGAGAAGACGGGGAACAGAGGTATAAGGAGTTTGTTGTGGAGGTTCAGGCAATCGGGAGCGTAAACCATCTGAATGTTGTGAAGTTGAGGGCATATTATTGGGCACCTAACGAAAAGCTTCTCATCAGCGATTTCATTTCCAATGGCAACTTAGCTTCTTCTCTTCGCGATAAGTTACTACATTCTGTTGTCATTCATAATTAGTTTTCTCGCTAAATTGCATTTATTTGCAAATTATTATATGCATAGTTTCTGAAATTTCCGCGGGGGCGGACAGCAGTGAAATGCTTAAAAGCAGCTGGCCGGTGAATTTTCGGATTTTGATTTGGGGGTGGGAGTGGGAAAGTTGAAATTTTATCCTTTCAAAATTAGTCAAAATTATGGCCAAGATCAATTCTTTTGTCGACTAATGGTCAAACTAACAGTTTCCATCTGTTTGGATTCTGGGTGTGAGTTTTTTAAAGGTTTGGTATCGTGGGTGGCACAAATGAAAGGTTTGGACAAAGTCTACAACTAAATAAAAGGTTTGGACAAAGTCTGCAACTAAATAAAAGGTTTGGTACCGTGGTTGTAATTTTCCCATATATAAATGTAAAATTTTGAGTTTTGATGCATGTTCTTATGTGGATGGTATTGTTGTTTCACAAGTTAAGCATTTGCTACTTATTACTCCTGAGTTCAAATTTTTTTTTTTTTTTGTCAACTGATAAACCAATGTAACGTAGTTGGTTATCCAATTATCGCAACACATTGGACAAACACTACCAATTATTGGTTAGAAACAAATAAGATAAAACGGATACATTATAGAGATTCATAGATATTTCACTGACATATAGGAATTGGCTTGTTCAGTGACCATTTTGTGTTTGACCAGATTGTGTTCAATTTATTTCAAAATACATATTCTAATACTAATACAAGTTGACATGTGTAATGTTTCTTTGCAGCTATGCAATCTGGTTACATGCAGAACTTGAATCATCCATTTCGGCCTACTTCAGTGAGACCTTCCCCTGAGATTTCAGCCTGCAGGCCTGCTTCTGGCCTCCATACTACAGCTCCAAATGTACAACCTGTGCAGTTGTGTGTGTCACATTCTACTAGACCTTCAAATGTTGCTGGTTCATCTTCGTCCCAACCTGTGCAACCTCTGCAGCGTGGACCAGCTCTTTCCCATAATGTTCCCACCCGACCCCCCCATATTGGTACCCTGACACCTTCCACAGGCAATGTCAGAGTCGGTAGGGAGATCCATGCTCAGGCTCCTCACCTTCAAGCGTTCCGACCTGCTGCATCCAAATATGTTGCTAGTGTGGCAGCCTTTCCACCTAGTGTGCCAAGACAGCGGGCATCAATTCTCCGGCCTGTTGATTCTTCGCCATTTTCTCAACATCCACCTCAACAAGCACCACCTGTCCAGTATCAACCGTTGCTACGTTCACATTCACAGACACCACAACCTGTATTCACTAATTCCGTTTCTCATGGACTGCTGGCTCCTCCTAGTATTTCTCAATCCACACAGGAGATGCGTATGGACATGGATAATCAGCCTCGTGTACAGGTGCCACATTCTTTTTCACCTTTACCTCGTCTCAGTTTGACTTTTGATTTTTCGCAACAATCTGAGCTTCATTCGTTCGGTAATGTGCAGGATCTGCCTAGCAACGTTGTTTATTTGTCCGATGATGACTGAAAAGGGAGAAGATAATGTTTGTCCTGTATGGGATTTTTGATGCTCAGTAGGAAGATACCTCAACAAAAAAAGGAGAATATTCTATCCCAAACGCAGTTGGCATATACCTATTACTATTTTTGTTTATATTGATGATGTAAATACCATAGGTAAGTTGCTATATTATCAGACATCTATGGTTTTGGCAAAGAATAGGGCTACTGAAGTTTTTATTAACTCAATATTATGAATATGCCACCTTATGCAGTCTAAATCCGCCTCCGTTTGATGGGATTAAAATTAGATTTTTAATAGATTTTGATAAAAGTTGATGAAATGCGTGGTTGAAAAGTTGTGGGTTCCATAAAATATGTGGTTAAAATTAATTGTTAACTTTGACTTATATATATATATTAAAATTTAGATTTTAATACCTACCAAATAGGGGGCTTAATTTTGATCATCTCTCTTTTCAAATATCCATTTCATTTGTTTTGCCGAATTAGGCTTTGTTGCTAGATGAATTAGACATTTTTCTTGACAGAAGATGTGGAAAAAAAAATGATTGGATGACATTATTGATTATTTTCTAAGCAGTCCAATAAAATTATGTCACATGACAATTCTGTCATCCAAGATGTTAGTATAACATGATTGTTGTTTGGTCACTGATCTTTTTAATTTCCGTTTAAAAAGTACAAATACAAGTGCAATTTATGAAAGACCGAGGATAATAATACGACAAATAAAGCTGGTGTGGAGTTAAAAATTATTTCAGTGCGGGGGGAGTTACTAGCTGGAGTAGCAGTAGGGGTGGGAGTGGGTCGATTTTGGACCCTATTCGAAATTGAAATCAACACCGACCGACCCGGTTTGGATACATTGCAAGCATAACCAACCCTTTTCACTGTTGAAACCGAAATATCATTCGAAAATGCCAAATTCAAAATATTTAGTACTACTAAATAAAGGTTTTTTTTTTACATGTGAAAATAAATCAAGGTAGAAAACACAAATTGTAAGATGAGACTTATGAGCCTGAACAGGCTGCACATTTCTGTCCAGTCAAGTGGAGGAAGCCAAGGCCCACTATAGATGACTGCCTAAGGTGGCTTCGCTCTCGAGGTGTCAAGACGGACGGGTTGGTCAGACCTGTGAAAATCTGGCCCGGATCGACTTGGGACCGCGTGCCGACCCGTGACCCGAGCGGCGGTTCACGGGTCAAGAAGGTGTGACCCGCGGGCTTCGCTAGTAATTAGAAATGCATTTAATTGTTATTTGTTTAAGTTAAATTTAGACCCTATCTGGGATAGATTTAAATCAGCCCAAAAATTGCTTTTCATACTGTTGAACGAAGCAACGGTCAAAAAATCCGGGTTTGCTGCTGACTTTTGTGTCTGTGTGTCAGAAATTAACGGGCCAAAAATCAATTTTATGGAATGGAAATCATGCCCAGACAAGCCCTTAATTTTGCAAAGTTATAAATAATTCACGTGACATTAAATTTGAATTCTATGTAAGCATTTCTAGGTATAAATATGAATTTATCATTTTGTTCAATTCTTAGTTTACATTTAGCAAAAATATATATTTTTTGCTATAAATATGAAAAATTCTATATTTTTATAATTTTATTTATACAATCATACGGGCCAAAATCGGAACGAACCGCGACCCGCGCGACCCGTGACCCGCATGGGCTCGACCCGGATGGGTCAGCGGGCGGGCCTTTTATTTCAATTTTTTTTTTGCATTTAAAAAAAAAAAAAAAAAAAAATATTTTTTGCTATAAATATGAAAAAATTTATATTTTTATAATTTTATTTATACAATAATACGGGCAAAATCGGAACAAACCGCGACCCGTAACCCTCATGGGCTCGATCCGGATGGGTCAGTGGGCGGGTCTGAATTGTAGTCCAAAATTTGTGGGCCGACTTGGAACCGGCCTAGAACCCATAGTATGCGGGCTTTTTTTTCACGCGGGCTCATATGTTGGTGGGCCAACCCGATCCGGATCACTCGGATTGACACCTCTACTTCGCTACTTATAGAAAGGGAGGAATATGAGTACGACAATGAGTAAATATTTGAGATTGTTAGTGCAATTAAAAGTGACGCAACAAAAGAAAATCGTGATGACAATGCAAACATCTGTTTTTATAAATTGCCCAGGGTATTTCAAGAAGACTAATTTTTAGGCTAAATTCAATTTGTGCCCACATGTACCCTCGCACTTTAGCTTGCAACTATATATTTATGTTAAAATAATATTTCATTTTGCAGCTTTTAAAATGACTTATAATAAATATTATATTTTATAAAAATAACTTAATTATTGAAATCAAATATATTTCAAATCAGCACAAGATCTGCTATTTCCTTAACAATAAGCTAGCGGGTGTTTGGTATGGATTAAAATTAGATTTTTAGTAGATTGTGTTAGCAGTTTTAGAAATGTGTGGTTGAAAAGTATACCCATAAAAGATATGTTTAATATTGATTGTTGACTTTGACTTGAATTAAAATCTGATTTTAATTCGAAACAAACTAGGCTTAATTAGAATTTCTTTGACAGAAGACGTTTATGTAGGACTTTCGAAAAACGATGCCTAATCTCATAACATTATACACATAAAGAGAGCGGTGAATTGAGTTTTAAGTCCCAAATAATTTTTCAGCCATATACCAACAACCCACTAAATCAATGCCCCCACCCTCCAATAAGGCACCTTATATTTCATTCAAATAGGGCTCCAGTCCATGTTTCATTTCAGAGCTTTTAGGGGTACAATGGACCCGAGATAATGGCTCCTTTAAACTCCTTTTGAGGCCTCAAATGCTNACAAAACACTATTCCAAAGTACATTTATAACCCCAAACTGGGGCTCAAATAAGGGCTTAATAAAAATGGTGAATAATAAATCAAATTTGAGGAAGTAGTTAGTACTTAATTGCTTAAGTCCAACCACTTGTCACTTAAAACTTTGTTACCAAAAGCTTAGCATATATGTGGCTTTTCACCATGATGATGGGTCCATTACATGTACAATTTTTCAAAAACTTTTCATGTGTACTAATTATACATTTTTATTTGGTGGTGTGGGTTGGCTTCAATGTAGCTTGGGTCAAGTGAATTTGGCTAATCTCTCTATTTTTGGCTGGGTAGATATGGCTGACAACAGTGGTCATGTTAGTGGTAGAAGTTCGGGAAACACTCATGTTGTGCTCAATGAAAGAATTCTCTCTTCTATGTCACGGAGATCTGTTGCTGCTCATCCATGGCATGATCTGGAAATTGGTAGAGTTTCTATATCTTGAATATTGGTCATAGATTTACGAATACTATGTAACGAGTATCAAATGTGTCTCAAGTTTACCTTTATTTACCACCTTGATCTTTGACTGTTGTGTAACTGATTCTTGAGACCATGCTGTTTGATGTTCATTATGTAGATTTTTTCCCTAAACCTCATGTTTATGATTTTATCTCTTTTACTATCACCTTTGATATTTGTGCAGGACCAGGAGCACCAGCACTTTTCAACTGTGTGAGTGGTTCTTCTGCTTATATACATGTTTGAAACTTTATGTATTGGGAAAACCTTTTTGGTTGATCAAATGCACATTACTGTTTATGAACCAGAGTGTTATGGATACCACATGTTATTCTTTGGTTGTCATTGTCTCTAGTGCACAAATCGAGAGGACAGTCCCATCTCTGTGTACAATAATTATTCACTTCCACATGCACAAGTTTGATGGAAAATCAGTAAATCACTTGCTTTTTCGCTGTTGAAAATCTGTTATTCCCTTGTACCATCACCTTGCTATATTTATCTTACCTGATTCGTCAATATTTTCTTGTAATGTATCGAAACTTTACCAATTGGTTAGTATATTGATTCCAAGTTACGTGGCAGGTGATTGAAATTGGAAAAGGCAGCAAAGTTAAATATGAGCTTGATAAAGCCAGTGGCCTTATCAAAGTGAGTAATTATATTGTCTGTGTGCCATGAATTACGAAATTACTTAATCATTAGAAATATCTTTATGTCAAATGCCCAGTCCCCAATTTTACCATATTGGACAGGAAGTAAATTCATTTTTGTTCACTAGTTGTAAAAAGCTAATCCACCCATCAATATTTCAAAATATGCTTCTATGTTTTTACTCAGAACCTGTTTGCACCCCCCCCCCCACCCCCACCCCCCTTTCGAGGAGCCTGTAAAGCCTCTGTGAGTAATGCTTCTGTACATGAAGCATTACTCATGTTTAATTAGTTGCAAAAATAATGATTCTCTTTACACTGATAATGAGTTACGGTCAAATTCTTATTGAAGGCAATAGTAGAGAATTTTCGTCAATGGACAAAAGCTTGATAAATTAGTTATGCATATATGTAGAATGTCCTCATATCGTGATTATCTTTCATAGAAAAAATCAATTATGGTTATTTGAAATGATTTTTAGCTTCTTGCCGATTTGGCCTTAACACCATTTTTCTTGTCAAATAGATAAGGTTTAATACATTAAAATTATTTAGATATGTAGACTTAGGTTACATTCATAATTCTTTGTTTTGTTACGATTATATTATTTAGAATACTTATCTCGTATTTCTTTTATTTTATTTGCCGAAAATTATTCTCTTGTGACTACATAGTTAACCATCTAACATTAGCGAACTTAAATTTACGTATAATTTCGAGTTTATTTCGATAAAATCATCTAGGGTAAATCTCTAACATTATAAATTAAAATTCTTGATATATAATATGGCATTGGGATGCAAGTGTACTACACTAAATTTTGGGGACCATTAGACCCCACTTGGTGGCTGCAATATTTACGTGAAAGGTGCCTATGCCCCGTAATATTCAAAGCTACGGTCCAATACATTTGTCACGAGAACTTGTTATTTTTTTAAAGCACACATCATAGTCATAAATCAAATAAAGAATAACTCTACAAAACATTTAATAAAGAAAGTCATTTATACAACACAAGACAAGAGGATTTGTTCTTATTTTAACGGCGCTATAGAGACATCACAATAATTGGCTTTTCTCCGATATTGAGATTGATTATGAAGAAACATCGACAGAGTCAAGATATTACATTTAATAGAAAATATTTCTTATTGCTTTAATCGACATAAAATTGAAAAGGAAATGAAATAAAAAATGAATAATTAATTGGTCAAAATCCTCTCAAATAATTAATTATGATAAACCATTTATGGTGCCGTGGAAGGATAAGTCAACCTTCACTACATTGCTTCTTTATATTGCAAATGGCGGAATTATAAATATTTTCACTTTAGAAGGATAAAGTAATTTCGTTTATCAAAATTAATATTATACATTATCTTTAAAATAAGGTATTACTAAATTACTTGTAACGAAATAATATTTACATTTTAATGTAGTGAGTATTGTTAGTCAATGAAGTGAATAAGCATTTTAAAAATAAATTTTATTTTACTTAAGTACTATCAGACATGCTCTGAAAATTTCCTAAAGCGCGTGGATTTAATATATATTGATTAATAAGTTTTGTAGGAAACGACTTTAATTTGGTTTGAGAAAGTGCATCGACGCCGTCCCCGTATTTTTCCTACCCATTTTAACGACATTAGCCTCGAGTCGACAACCACGAAGTATTAATATTTTTTTTATCTCTATTGTTAAAAATGAAAAATATTAATCTCCAACATAATTAATGACATATTAATTTTTTTAAAAAAATAAAATCATTTTTCAAATTTACTCTTAACTTTATTCTAATATTAACCGGTCATTCTCCAAAAAATTATTTTTCAAATAATCACTTTCACACAAGTATTTTGACCCCTTTTTGTTTTTCTAAAATCCGATTTTTAATATATTTTGATAAAATTTGATAAACTGTGTGATTGAAAATTGATAAAAACTGTAAATCACATTAAATTTGTGTAATTGTTGACTTTGACTTATATGTTTATCAACTATTTTAGCTAAATCCAGCGTAGGCTTAGTATGTTGAATCGAAATCAAATTAGATATAAATAAGAGAAAGATATATAATTTGCCCATGTTTGGTACAACTAAAAAATAATTAAAAATGATCAAGATCTACTAAAAATTAAATTTTTATCTAAACGAAACAAGGACATGGGTAAATAAGGGTATGTTCTCTTTATTATTTTTAAGTCATTTCCAGTTTTCGGAAATACTGAAAATACGTTTACTTACCTATTTTCAGAAAAGAATTTCCAATAATGAGTTTAAAATTTACAAAGAAAACAGAAAACGCCAAAAAAGTAGCTTTGACTGTTTTCAGTTAAAATCAAGCCAAAACTTTTTTTAAAAAAATTTTTGAAAATAATTTTTCAAAATGACAAAAAGAACGCATTTTCAAAAATCTTAAAATGGACATTCAAAACACAAAACTCAAAATGAATTCAAAACTCAAAACTAAAAATTGAAACACGAAGAGAACAACCCCTAAGTTTTTTATTGTCTTTTTGAGCTCAATTTTTCTCAAAACTCATTTTCAATCACGTCTTCCCAAAAAATAATTTTATGCATAAATCAAAAAAAAGTTTCTATACTCATTTTTCAAAAAATTACTATTCCAAAACTTTTTTTTCCCCAAAATGGATCCCAAACATGCCCATAATATAGTCTAAAACTCCGAAATATGATTGCTTATCAAGGTCCAACTTGATTTTAAATTAAGCATAAACCAATGAGTGATTTGTCAAATGCTGTCATCCATAACTGGAAAAGTTTTTTTTTTGTTTTTCGCAAGTTGCTGAAATTAGATGATTACTATAACTAATGTTAAAATTTTGATTTGGTAGGGAGACTTGATTTTTAAGATTTGGCAAAAGAGCACCAATTCACATAAAAAAAAAATGAATAAAAAATAACTTCCATTTTGAAGCTGCAAAATAACCAACCACCAATTCCAACAACATTATATTTTAATGTATTTTTCTTTGTTGGGGGTATTGAACACTTAAAATGCACGTTATGTAGTTCGAATCTTTGACTTGGCCGAGATTCAACATGAATATATCGTATATTGAAGAAAGTCGTTGTGCTTGACGTAAGTCATGTTGGCGCTCTCTAAAGGATGCATCAATCAATATTTCTCTGTTACTTCTATTTCATGTCAATAGTTTCAAATGAAAGAAGAAAAAATGAGAAAAATCGAAACATAAAATATTATTAAATAATCATTACTATAAATTTGAAATTTTGACCAAAGCTGTACAGTTGTATTTGGTAAACTATGAACAAATACTTTTGGCGTTATCATTACCATGTTCTTGTCCACTTCAAAACTTGTTAAATCCAAAGTCTACACCAAGGTCAAAACTCCCGTGCCTCTAATCCCAACAAATAAATTGCATTTCCTAACTTTCCATTTTTACCCTTCTCCGCCCCCACTCCACCCCATGAAACCCATTACTACAGTCATTATTATACATATAATAATAATGTGATATGGCTGTAACGTAAAGCCATTGGTTTCCGTGTCAGTTTTCAAAGAAAACCCACAAACCAAGAACAGAGAGAAACTGAAAATACAAAACAAAACAAACAGCTCAAAGAACAAGTTGACTTTGAGATCTGTTTTTGCATAGAATGCTGCTCTATATTCATGCATGCATTTCTGTTTCTGTGTCTATACATCTGTATGCGTAACCTATAGGTTTAGTGCTTCTTGAACTGTTGTTTTGGTGGTGAAAGCTGCAAAAATGGGCGGTGGGAGCAAATGGAGTAAAGCCAAGATGGCTCTTGGGTTGAAGCTTAATACGTGTCTTTATGTGCCAAGAACCATAGAGGACACGCCTGTGGTGGCATCACCGCCACCGCAGCCTTCAGCTAGGAGGTTCTCCGATGCAGTATCTTTGTCTCCAACGCCGCCGCGAAATTCTGATTACGGCCGGGTTCAAATGCCGACCACTCCGACGCCGTCTTCCTCCGGCCTCCTCTTGCCTAAACACTCCTCCAAATCTTCCAAGGTACAATAAATAGAAATATATTAATGGATGCTTAATTGCTCGTTTTTGCATTTTAATGTTCATATGCTTGTAAATTCTTATTATTAAGAGTGTCATAAAAATAATTTTCTTTTCATGGTAAATTTGTGATTATATTTCTTTTTTCTTTTATAAACAAAAAAGGGAAATCTCTGCAGTTTCTACATTGTTCAAAAAAAATTTACTTTTTCTTTATTTCTACCATTAATTTTGGTTTGTTGACCCCAGTAATCTCCAATAAGCATCGAGTAATGAAACCACTATATTGATTAGATTTCTTTTACTTTTGTGACAGTGTAAAGAATTTTTTACTTATTTTTTTTGAATGAATAAATGAATGGTTGTTTTCTGATGGAGTAGTTGAATGAATTTGTATATAGGGTGTCCCTTGTCACGTGGGGTAGATATGTGTAGGGATGATGACAATGGTGATAGCAATAATAACACAAGTTGAACGGAGTAGAATTAAAAAAGAAAAATAAGTTAAAATCTTATCTATTTTTCTGCATAGAGCGGTCGAGTACATACGCGACCAAAAATGCGGTATTATGCATTGTGATGTAGTTTTCAGTGTAAGGTGGGGATAAAGTGGTGGAGTCCCTTTTGAGGACAATAGTCATCTGGCCTTATTATAAAAGACTAAAAGGGAAGCAACACTGAACTTTTGTTTCCCTCTTTCCCCATCTGAGAGAGAAAAGATAGTGCTTTTCATGGTCAGCAACTCAACTGTTTTACACACATGAAAATACTCATTTGGCTATTTCCTCACCCCTTTTTATGATATTAGTCTTCAACTTGACCATTTGTTCACAACTTTCATGCAATAACTTAATATCAAAGTGAGACCAAGGGTTGAAAAAGGAATCATGACCTTATAGTCACTAATGATTTCTACTTCTTTTTATACATTTGCTTTAAGTGATTTTTATTGACTTTTTAATGCCTCGAAGGCTTCATTATTGGTTTTTACAGTTTGCTAATTGCCTTTAAAGTTTACAATTATTTGAGGTTATCATAGGTCTTACTTTACCAGAATAATTTACCACTAGGTTTGGGGGTATATTTATTGATATTAGGATTAACTATAGTCTACGGTCGGTGCTCGGATGGTAGCAGAATTCTATTCAATGTAATGGCAGATCGATCACCTTAGCACTGTATAATCTATCTCACAATATTACACTCTAATTTGCTGGCAACATAGTATAGCTGGAAAAACTACCTCATAATAAATGGTTTAAAAACAATGCATAATATTAACAATAAAAATTAAGAAAAAAGAATTTTTTAGCATGTTTTATTCCATGTAAAAGACAGAATTCTTTTTTTTTTTTTTTTGTCTTGGATTGTGGCAACGGTTGAGTCATGGCAATGTTGGCACATGTATACGCCTTTTTGCTTACATTTATGGTATGTTTGGTAGAGAGTATTGGGTATTACTGGATAGTATAAGAATAAGCTAAAATCTTGTTCATAATAATGACGAGCGTTCTTCAATACTCGTGCCAAACATGCACTTAAGTTCTTCATATTATTGCTTCAAATGTTGTGTGATTAATTTGATTTTGATCTTATCTTTTATTGCAGAAAACCTGTGCAATATGCTTGGCGTCCATGAAACCTGGCCATGGCCATGCCATTTTCACCGCAGAATGCTCCCACACATTTCATTTCCATTGTATTACTTCTAATGTAAAGCATGGAAAGCAAAGCTGTCCTGTTTGCCGAGTGAAATGGAAAGAAATCCCTTTTCAGAGTCCTACCACCAATAAATCTCAGGGAGTGAGAATAAACAATGTTTCTTTGCCTCAAAATGATGCTTGGACGGCTGTTCAAAGACTACTCCCCCCTCCACGGGTAGACATTAATCGGCACATTACTTCACTTTTTAACACGATGGAACCTGGCGTCTTTGACGATGATGAACTTATTAGTGACCAACCTACTGTCACTGACAAAACCTCAACCAGTAATGACTTGACTGTTGGCCATTCTGCTGGATTTATAGAGGTTAAAACTTACCCGGAAGTTTCAGCTGTTCCAAAATCAGTGTCCCATAGTAACTTCACAGTTTTGATTCATCTCAAAGCTCCAGTTACTTATGGATTACAACATTCTGGAATATGCGAGGGTGGCTTGCCATTACAATCTCAAACTTGTCGCGCACCAGTTGATCTTGTGACCTTGCTCGATGTTAGTGGCAGCATGGCAGGTACGAAGCTTGCTTTGCTTAAACGAGCAATGGGGTTTGTGATTCAAAATCTAGGGCCTTCCGACAGGCTTTCAGTGATTGCCTTCTCCTCCACTGCTCGTCGTCTCTTTCCTCTTTGTAAAATGACCGATAATGGAAGGCTTGAAGCATTACAAGCTGTGAATTCTCTTAGTGCGAACGGCGGGACAAACATTGCTGAGGGCCTTAGAAAGGCTGCCAAGGTGATGACTGAACGTAAGTGGAGAAATCCTGTTAGCAGTATTATACTGTTCTCTGATGGGCAAGACACTTATACTGTTAGCAGGCCTAATGGTGGCAATACTTGTACTGCTAATCCATCACTGCTCCCAGTTTCCATGCATCTGAATGAGGATTCCAGTCTCAACATTCCTGTACATGCATTTGGATTTGGTGCAGATCATGATGCAGTCTCAATGCATTCTATCTCAGAAACTTCGGGGGGAACATTTTCTTTTATAGAGGCAGAGAATGTAATTCAAGATGCTTTTGCACAATGCATTGGGGGGCTTTTGAGTGTTGTTGTACAGGAATTACATGTGGAAGTTGAATGCATTAACCCCATGTTGCAAATCAGTTCAATAAGATCTGGAAGTTATATGAGCAACTTGGCATCGGATAAAAGAAAGGGCGTTATTGAAGTTGGAGATCTATATGCTGAAGAAGAAAGAGATTTTCTTGTAGCAATTGATATTCCAGTCGATGGATCAAATGATGAGATGTCACTGCTAAAGATTAGATGTATTTACAAGGATCCCATTTCCAAAGTTTTGTTAACTCTAAATGCTGCAAATGACGTCAAAATTCAAAGGCCAATCCTAACTGGACCATTAGCGATTTCCATGGAAGTGGACAAGCAGAGGAACAGGCTCCAATCTGCAGAAGCCATAGCAGAAGCTAGGGTTGCTGCTGAACACGGTGATTTCGCTGCTGCTGTGTCTGTCCTAGAGAATTGTCGTAGAAAATTATCAGAAACTGTATCAGCACGAGCTGGTGACAGATTGTGTGTCTTGTTGGATGCTGAATTACGGGAAATGCAAGAGAGAATGACCAACCTCCGTGTTTATGAAACGTCTGGAAGGGCTTATGTTTTATCAGGATTGAGCTCACATTCTTGGCAGAGAGCCACTTCACGCGGTGATTCAACTCATAGTATGAGCCAGGCTTATCTGACTCCTTCCATGGTTGACATGGTAAACCAATCGCAGACTATGTTGTTTGGGAGTCCGTATCCTCGATCTCCAATGCGGCCAACACGGTCTTTCCCTGCACGACCACAGCCAAGGTGAGCACTAGGCTTGCTTATGCAAAATTTCCTCCAAGATCCACCTAGTACATCATTGTGTTGCATATTTATTTATTTCTATTTTCCTTTTTTCCCGGACAACACCAAATTGAGAAGGTTCACAGAAGATTCTGAATTCAAGGGTGTGTTTCAACTTCAAATGTAAATGAATAACAATAGGGAGGGGTAAACAGGTTTCAAGAATATGTTGAAATGATGTTGTAATTTGGGTATAAAGAGAAATGAGTTTTTTCCTCTTTGAGAGCACATTGGGTATAGCCTTGTAATTGTTGGGATACTGTGTTAATTTTGAACTCTATATATGCAAGTACTGTGATTTGATTCTTTTAACGAGTCTATTATTCTATCAAATCCTAGCCTTATTTCCATATTTCAAGTGATGTTTGCCCATTAATTATCACTCCTTTCATTCTGGGGTGACAGAGGGATCATGTCATTAGAGATTTTTCTATTTTTTATTTTTGCATGCTTTTTCTGGAGGCCGAAAGGAAGGGCGTGAAATTCTTTTTCTTTTCTGTAGGGAGGAGTTTGTTAATTTCAAAAGGCTTGTGAATTTACTAGAGTAAGATGAGATATGCAGCATCATCAATTTGCTATTGAGATTTTGTTAACATGTCAACAGATCTTCCCCTTCGCTCCTGCAAGTATTTCTCAGATGAAATGGAGAAAGACTTGATTCTTTGCCAATTGAATGGCACTTTTGGACGTTACTATGTACTCAGCTTCTGTTGTAAATAACTTTTTTCGCGAACTGGCCTTTTGAAGAGCCTACAACACCTGCACTCGCACCCCCTCACCCTCACCCTCACGCTCCCATAATTGTGCTTTCTTGTCTCATCCGTGTCATTGATTGCTGGCTAGTTCAAACAGTAGTTTTTGGCGAAGAAAATTGACATTTCAAACAACTGAAAAAGTAAATATATTAGTCTGAAATCTCAATATAGCACTTAAATTGAAACACTCTAAACATAAAAATACCATATTAACATGTTTTCTATACAAGCTTGCTTAAATAAATATAAAGTTCAACCATGAAATTTAAGATAATAATTTGATTCTTTCTGAAATAGATAAGAAAGATATTATCATAAATCATTATTTTCATAAAATAGTCCATATAAGCCGACTAACAAGTATTTTATTGAGGTATAAATTGAACTAATAAATAATATATCTTGAGTAAAACAAGTAAATATTTTATTATTATTATTTTTTATTTTTATTTTTTTTGGAAAAATTTGGGTGGACTGTTCAATTTGATTTGAAGCGATTTTACCGTAGAAAGTTTCAAGTTTACTTCTTGTTGATGGTCACGTTCTTTTACTCTTCTGTTGGTAGTGGTAGTGGTAGTGGAGGAACATTTTGATTGTGAACTACTCTTAAGTCGAGTCTATCTTGCATGACATTTTTCTTCTCTTATTATATAAGAAAAATATGTAACGTGTGAAATATTGGAGTTCCGAAGGTCAGAAAAATATATTTAGAAAAACTGAATTTTGTATAACACTAGTTTTGGCCCGTGCAATGCACGGATTTTGTTATTTTTAAGGTTATGTTAACATTGTATATACATTCAATGAAGTTAGCAAAATGAACTTTATTTAACAAAGTAAATTTATATATGATATATTGTCAGATGATTCTTCTGTCGATTTATACTAAAATGTTACGATAGACTAAAGTAAATTAATAGAATTGACTGTGTTACATGATAACCTTCTTCTCAAAAATATTCTAGCACTTCATAGCTTCAAAATATCATAAAAAGGAAAAAAAAAAAAAATGCAAAACTGCCACGAATGCTTCCACTCTTGAGTGTATGTGAACTAAGCTTATTTACTTGTTAGATAATAGTAATTATAATATGATGCACCTTAAAACTTCATTATAATGATTAATAAAACGGAGGAAAGAGTATGCATTACTTTGCTTATAATAGGATTGAAGGCCTTTGATGCCAAGTTGGAAGACTACTTACAGGATTTTGGATCCAAAGACAGAGATCAAGCAATAAAAATGCATGAAGTTATTAAATAAACAGTAATACTTGACCCATCTCATACAAGAGCACGTCAAGAAACGTTTTATGTGCCATAAAACAAACTGTTCAAGACCAACACTTCTCTACACTCTCCAACTATATCTGTAAAAAATGGTGACATTCAGTGGAGAGCATCTTTTCGACTACTCTACAATCAAAGAAATAAGATACAATTGGTTAGTTGTAAGCAGTAAACAGAGAATATTTCCTTCATCCAAATCTCTTTCTAC